TGGTCCATTTTTAATATTGAAATAAACTAGTTTATTCAGAAATAAACACTATTATATATTTTTTATCACTCTTTTATCTTTGATTTTACTGATACCCGCTCTGTCTAGCTGAATATAAGAAAAGTTAATCGGAAAATAAACAACTACAGTAATTTAAATAAATTAGCAATTATTTTGCTTTTAAAAATTAGTAGGTACCTTACTTTTATACAATTTAAACTTTTATAAACTTGTTTTACAGATAGAAACTTTTATTTGTTCATTTACTATTAGTCATGCTTGAGGGGTAGTTTTCCAGCTACTAATGAATTAATGAGGTGGTTGTGATTTATTTTTAGTAGGTATTTTGTGAATATAATGAATAATGGGTATACTTGCTTATATGAAAAAATAATACCCGATACCAGGGTATTAAAAAAAAATCGGGTACGCGAAAACCCTAGTTTGAACGGTCGACTGAGAAAGAGCAACACATTTTTGACGTCTTAAAATAATTAACAATGATTTTAAAATAATGTAATTATATTTGTATAAAATAATTATATCTAAACTTGTATCAAAGGGAGAATGTGTTAATTTGTCTATTGTGTAATAGTGGGGGTCAATTTTGGAAATTAAAGAACTAAAGCTGAAAGCTCTATTTTTGTTTGAATCGTACACTATTATTAAGGTGGTTGTGACCTATATTTAATATTTTTTAAGTATAATAATGCTCCTTTTTACAATTACGAATAGTTATGGTTTTTTCAAGCATAATTTTCTATGTTTTATTCTCCGAATACTTGCTCTCTTTAACAGTCGTATGTTTGAACAGGTCGATTGAGAAAGAGCAATACATTTGGGTCGTTTCAATATAAATAGCAATTATTTGTAGATGAATTTATTTTTTTTGTATGAATTAAACTTTTTAGAGTTGTATCACAGAGAGAATGAGTTAGCTTGCCTATTCTGTGACATATGACGACAAATTTCGGAAATTAAGCTGAAAGCTCTAACATTCTTTGAATTCTGTACCATTATTGAAGCGGTTGTGGCCTATTGTTAATATTTTTTAAGTATAACAATTTTCTTTTTGTAATTGAGAATAATCATGGGGCTTTTTCAAGCGTAAGTTTCTATCTTTTATTCTCCGAATACTTGTTCTCTTTAACCGTCGTATGTTTGAACTGCTGACCAAGAGTGCAAAACTTAGTCGGTTGAATGTAAATAGCAATTATTTAAAATTAATTCGTTATTTTTATATGAATTAACCATTTTCAAACTTGTGTTAAAGAGAGAATATATAATATATTTATAATATATGGGGGGTTTATTTAGGTATTAACGAACCAAAGCTATACCACTATGGTAGTGGTTTCTACCTGTTTTTAACATATTTTAGATGTAATAAAGCTCTTTTTGTAATTAAGGATAGTTTTTCCGAGCGTAATTGTCTATCTTTTATTCTCCGAATACTTGCTCTCTCTAATAGTCGAGGAGTATGTTTGAACGACCGATTGGGAGAGCAAGACATTCTTGTCATATGTAAAAATTTGTTATGAAAATTAATACATTTGTGTATAAATTAAACTTTTTCAAACATATTACAAAGAAACAAAAAACTAGTTTGTTCTGTAAAATGTGGTGGCTAATTTCAGAAATTAACTAACCAAAGTCGAAAGTTTCTTCGTTATTTGAAAGAATTACCATTATCCGATAGTTGTAGCCTATTTTTTATGGTTTTTTAAAAATAATAGTGGTTATTTTGTTGAGAATAATTGTAGCTTTTGTTCAAGTGATTTTCTATCTTTAATTCCTCGAATGCGTACTCTCTGGAACAGTCGTATGCTTGAACGGTCCACCGAATGAAGAAGAAAATTTGCCCGTTTTTAATGTAAATAACAATTTAAAATTTGTTTTGAAAATGAATAGGTACATCATTTTGTTAAACGTGTAGTGTAAGTAGAGAAAGTGTTAGTTTGTCGATTCTGTAATATGTGGAGGTAATTTCGGAAGCGAATCAATCAAATAAGTTGAACATTTCCTTTTTTTAAAATAGTTACACACTTATGTACATAATACAAAAAACATATAATACACAAGTATAAGCAATAGATTATTTCTTCTGTATATATTTTTTCCATCGTTTTTTCCTACCTTTCCTGCATCCATTCTGTGCCTTCGTTTGGTCCACTCATTAATTTTGTCCTGTTTGATTATTTGTAGTTTATATGTTGCCGGGTTTCCTTTTTCCCCATTACAATTTTTGCATGTCTATTCTTCTTTATTTAGCCAATGCTTTTCTCCTTTCCATTCTTTGCAACATTTGAACATTGCCATTATCTCCGCCTTGTTTTTATTTCCTCTTCCCTTTCAGAACCAATTATTTGGGCTATGCGTCAGGCATCCAACTTCTGTATTCTTTCGCGGACTTGGAATATTTTATTTGTTCCATTTTTACTTCCCTCTTATTTACGTTGATCGTGTTTCTCCAGGTATTGCTTGAGTCTCTCCCAGTGGCGGATTTAGGATTCGCAATTGGGGAGGCTGCACTAAAAAATTGATATGTTGTCTTTCATCTCATATATACATATACATTATATATACTTGTATACTTATAACTTAATGCATATCGATCACTGCCTTATGATTTAAATAACTGATTCTTTCAAAAAATGAAGTCACTTGATTAAAATTGTAATTTAAATCAACCCTGTTTAATGGCGTTGTAGAATATTTTCATCTTTATGATGATAAAAATACTTTCACCATTTAACAAAATTTAAGTCATTAAATTTTAATATTGTTTTATTGTTAAGCGATTCGTTAACGTGTATTTTTTATAGCAATTTAGCAATAAGAAGTTTGTAAAATTTTATAAAAGGTTGGTAGTTTTGAGAATTAATAGCTGTTTTTTGTTGTAGCTGCCGCTTTGGTTTTTCTTCCTAGTATTCCTGAGAGATTCGTGGAAACATCTTCTGTGGAATTGTGCCAACCACGGTAAGTTTTTTCTTAGTGTTTATTGATATTTCTTGTTTATTGAAAATCTAAACGTTCGTTTCTAAGAATTTGGACTAGTTTAGAGACTTTATATTGACAGTAATTTTCGTTAAACAAGAAAGGAATATACAATAAAGCCTGCTTTTTCCAACAATTTGGATACATTGAGTTTTAAGTGAATTAATTGATAAATTAATTTTTACCACTATAGATAATCTTAAATTAATGAGTAAGAATTTTTGTTGCTATCACAGCCGGTAACAGTATTGTATGAAAATAAATAAAAGTAAAACAAAAATATTGGAATGCAAGGCAAGAAAACGTAGGGAAAGAGCAAATACAAAGGTAGGAGACGACAAAATAAAAGAAGTGGCTGATTTTAAGTATTTAGGAAGTCAGATAAGTCAGGACGGAGTAGTAGGGATATAAAGCAGAGGATAACGCAGGGTCGAGTCGCCTTCAATAAAAAGAAGTCACTTCTATGCTTGCGAAGTGCCCATCCTTCCCTTCAGTCTTGGGCCACCTTCTTCATAGTTCATCTCCCCAACCTCCCTCTCTCACCTCTTTACCTATCTTTCACTCAACCCTCTCCCCTTACCCAAACTTCTCTCATCTTCTCCAGGTAGTCATATCCGCCAGGTTGATCTACCAAATCGAGTAGAGTTTTTAGTCGGTAGGCGCTCAAAAACAATACTCGCGAACGATTAATTTAGAAATTCGAAAAAGATTGTTAAAGGTGTATGTTTGGAGCGCGGCGCTGTATGGGTGCGAAACATGGACAATGGGCGCGGCGAAAAGAAAAGGTTAGAAATATGGTGTTATAGGCGAATGATGAGGATACCGTGGATAGAGAAGGTTATAAATGAAGATGTATTAGAAAGAAAAAGTGAACAGAGGACTCTATGGAAGTCAATAAGAAATAGGTGAGATACGTTGGTAGGACACCTTCTTAGGTATGATGGTCTAGTCGGAAACATATTAAGAGACAGAAACGGGAGTTAGGAGGGGTACAGGTAGACTTAGATTAGATTACTGTTTGCTAATAGTTAAATGTTCCTTGTTCTAGTTTTAGGGAAATGCGAAGATTAGCTCAGGATAGGAAAGAGTGGAGGTGTGTGTCCAACCAGTCTTAGGACTGACGGCCTTATGATGATGATGTTGTCGGTTTCATTATTCAAAGCCTTAAAAGGTATCAAATTTAATATTCTTGAAACCTACTTTGTCTCTTAAAGAATTTAAATTGTGTTTAAACTTTTATATTTCATAATGGTGTCAATTTTATGGTGCCTATCAGGGATACTTAAAAGTTTGCTAGTAAATAAAGAGTCAATATTTTTGCTACCATTTTGCCCCAGCATCTTTTCAATTGACAGCTGAACCGTATAACGTTACATTTTTTCTGCTGAAAATGAGTCAAAAGTACATATTTCATTGTTAATGCGTGTCCTCTGTCAAGAATGATGAGGTATCTGTAGGTAGTGGTACAAATAACGAAGTGCAGGGTGCATAATTTGAACAAATTGAAAGAGAGTTGAAGCCGACAGGCGGATAACAACTTTCCATGTTTTATTCACGTCGGGGAATAACCGCGCTAGTACACGCGTTTCGATTAATGAACTATTAAATATTTATAAGGGCACTGTTTTACAGAGGGAGAGATTTATTGATTGAAACGTGAATATACGTTATACGTACATTGGTGAGTACCTGCCTGCAAAATTACGCACATACACATGCTCACACATACACACACATACAAACAATACAGACACATGCACAAATACATAATTTATACTACATACCTTCACCATTATAACATACTACACATTCTACCTAATCCTTAACGAAAATGGAATTAATGAATATGCTCGAAACTGCTTCAGTTAACAGGAATTGTTTCTGATAGGGATGAACCATTACTTCTACTGGTTGATGATGACGGATATTTTTTACGTTGCCAATACTTTATATAACACTATTTGTTGTTTGGGAAAAAAAATTGAATTGGATTGTTACTTAATTATCTAAATTTTATGTTTATAGATATAAGGATTTTATATATATTTTGTATCTTCGTATTTCCCAAAAAGTATAATATTCCACCTCTTTACTTGCGAACTATTATAATCTCATTTGCTATTTAAGAAATCACCACAAGACCAGGCTTGGTCCAAGGTTCAAGTTTGACTCAAGATTGTTCAATTCTGGCCCGAGAATGACAACCAATATTTTCTTTTGCTGAACTGAGATTTGTGAATAATACTAACTCATGATTAGGCAGTTAAAATTGGGCCAAGACTTAACGAACAATATTAGATTTAATTGGGTATTCAATGTTGGCCCAAGAACTGATGAACTATATTAGATCCAAATTGGATAGCTAATATTGGACCAAGAATTGGCAAATAACCCAAAATTGATCAACCCTTATTGTGCCAAGATTTGATGATCAAAATTAATCTAACATTGGGTAAATGTATCGCTTTCCTTCTTGGCTAGTACTTCCTTGCTTAGTACTGGATATACCTTGATGAAACGTTTATATACTTAGTCTTGAGACTCGATACTTGACCGAGCTTTGACAAACCCATATTTGTCTGCCCAGTTTTGGACCAAGTGAATAAACCTAGCCTTGGCATTTGAAGATTGTTCGAACTTTGGACCAACATTGAAAAGCCTGTGCTTGGTTTTCCACTACTGCTCCAGGTTTAGGTTCTAGTTTAATATAAGTCTTGTTCTACCCTCTTTATATCCTTAATTAGCCATTCATGTTTTAGAAAGTGTTCTACCTACTTATTTTTTATTGATTTCCATAGAGCCGTCACTTTGTTTTTTTTATAAAATGCCAAGTTAACCCAGGAAATGTTCAAAATGTATTATTAAATGAAAGATATAATTACAAAACAGAAAGGGGAGTAGAGGTGCACCTAGATTAGATTATTTAAAGATGTGGGTTGTTCTAGTTTTGGGGAAATGCGAAGCTTAGCTCAGGATAGGAAAGACTGGAAGTGCGTGTCCAAGCAGTATTAAGACTGACGACCTTATGATGATGAGCGTAACTTCGTTTTTCATTTAATATAATATTTTAAATATTTCCTAAACCAGCTTGGTATTTTGTAAAATTTCTAGGAATGGTGTAAAATTCCTGAATTATTGCGTTTTATTTTAAGATTAAATTTATGAAAACATGTGCAGGGTTTTGAAAGGGGGGAGAGTACGATTTCCGTGGCGCCGCAATCTAACGACTGTTTTAGCTTAATTGGCCCTAAATAAAACGAAAATGAAGAATAAAATTTTTCGATATCTCGCTTCGTTTTCGAGATATCGATACTTGAAATTATAACTCAAAGTTAGTTCAAGATTCGCTTGATAGAATAGATGGCGTTTAATACGACGTCTAAAATGAAGATTTAGGTTAGGTTAGGTTAGCATAGATTGCGCTGGATTGACTTGGGTTGGATTGTATTATGTTTAATCATGTGAGATTATTTTGGTAAGGAAGGGAAGGTACGGCAAGGTGGAATGGCGCATGTTTGACCGGGTTAGGTTAGGTTAGGTTAGGTTAGGTTAGCATAGATAGATTTTTAATATCTCTTCTTTTCTAACCTTCTCTATTCATATTTCTTATTGGTTTCCATTTGTTTTTTTATAAAATGGCAAGTTAACCCAGGAAATGTTCAAAATGTATTATTAAATGAAAGATATAATTACAAAACAGAAACAGGAGTTAAGAGGAGTACAGGTACACCTAGATTAGATTATTTAAGGATGTGGGTTGTTCTAGTTTTGGGGAAATGCGAAGCTTAGGTCAGGATAGGAAAGACTGGAGGTGCGTGTCCAAGCAGTATTAAGACTGACGACCTTATGATGATGAGTGTAACTTCGTTTTTCATTTAATATAATATTTGAAATATTTCCTAAACCAGCTTGGTATTTTGTAAAATTTCTAGGAATGGTATAAAATTCCTGAATTATTACGTACATTTCCGGGAGTATATCCACTGTTTGTAAATGAAAAAGACAGGAAGACAGGGGTAATAATGAAACAAGGAAATTGGAAAAAAGCGGACATTGACATTACCTATACTACAATTAAAAAGATGCTGTTGCGTCATGGAACCCAATGGGCGAAAGTTTATAGTTTCGGACGACAAAATAGGAGCAGTGACTAACCTGAACTCGCAATATGCACACGTTTTTGTTTTGCACAAGTTAAAGTCCTTCGAGAAAGTAAGCAAGAAACAAAAAAGAAAAATTTCAAAATATTACGCAAAGCATCAAATAGATGCGATTGATAACTTTACTATATTTTAGGGCAGATAAGCTTCAATATTAACTAAATATTTATATCGTTTTTTCTTTTTGAGTTTTTTAACCATACATATAAAAATGAGGTCAATTTTTTATGAGTTTTAGGAGATAATTAAAGAAATTATTACTAATTTTAAATTAGTTCGAAAATTTCTCGTAACATGCTCTTCGATTGCGCCAGCAGTCTTGCAAGTTGAACATCCGCAACATGTTCAGTAAAGTGTATCATGCGCGAGTAGTCACGAGGAAATTATTGCGTTTCCATGAAAGTTTACATAATCTGTGCCGAACTTTCTTGAAAAGGTTATTAGTGTTTCTTGTTCAATTAAAATGGAAGCAAGTTCACTATTATAAAGTGATTTTTGTGTTCCTACCTCTTATATATAGATACTTAAATTCACAAGGTGAGATTCTTACTGTTAATTATGAAAGACAATCTGCATAGGTATATGTACGTGAATCGTTTTTTGATACGTTTTTAGAAAAGGATAAGGAGCTCAGTGCTGCAACTTCTTGTAAACTGTATTTGTTAAATTATGTCAGTGAATATCTTTATTGTTTCATTAGGTAAAGGAAACGTGTTTCAAATATTTGCTGCAGTGCTTTGAAGTGTTCATTAATTATTAATTTATATTTTGTTCATAGTGTTTATATCTATAAAAAATTGTCATTCATTTTACCATAAGAATGCAGAATCGACGGTTATATAAGAAAATCGTAAATTTTTTCAATTTTAAGATTAGATTTATGAAAACATGTGCAGGGTTTTGAAAGCTTCACTGGGTTAATTTATAAAAGGTAGCTGTCAGAAGACGTTGTAACAAGGGATGGTATTCCTAATTTCCGAACTGTAGATATAATCAGTCCTGAAATCATTCGTGTTTTTATTTTTATCTTACTTTATCATGAAGGAACCTACAACAACAACAGAAAGCTACACAAGTAAAATAATCACTTCAACTTCATGTCCGTTCGGCGTTACATTACTTGTAGAATGTAAAAAGTTGAAATATCATAATCCTTAGCATCCTACTTTGTTGCAGATGTCTTTGGGTTTTCTTCCTAGAGTCTTCGAGCAGGGTCTTTTGATTATCCGTGCTGTAACTACAACCACCGTGGTGAGTTTTATTTTATTACTCGATTAATGCTTTTTTTTCATAGAGAAAGTGAAAATATAAATTTTCTTATCTACTTACCATATGAGGGACGTCTATTTTATTTTAAATGCAATATTTGGAAATCAGCGGGATACAAAACGTCTACCGATAACAAAGTTTTGTGGTTTTACAATTATGGTTCTGAGTTTTTAATAGCACATGTATATACTTTATATATTGTTATGAAATCAAAATACTTAAAATTATTGCTAGTGTTATTGATAAGCTTTGAAGCCCAAACGTCTGCAAAACTAAATCCATTTAATGCATAGCACAATGGGTTGTAGAGTAAGAACGCAGAGTCGCCAGTCGTTACTGATTTTGTTTGTGTCTAGGGGGATGTTTGACCCTTGTTAATGGTCTGGCTGTTTACAAAAATTGTTGAAATAATTCTCTAAATGTCGTATTTAAAAATTAAGACTCATACTACATGTGAAATTAAGATTTTTTGGCGAACTTGAAGCAGTAGACAAAAATTATCGCCTATGGGAAGTGTCTGACACTCATCATCATCATCATAAGGTCGTTAGTCCTAAGACTGGTTGAACACGCACCTCTACTCCTTCCTACCCTGAGTTAACCTTAACTATTTGCAAACAGTAATCTAGGTATATCTGTACTCCTCTTAACTTCTGTTTCTGCCTCTAATATGTTTTTGACGAGACCTTCATGCCTGAGGAGATGTCTTACAAAACTATCTCGCCTATTTCTTATTGACTTCCATAGAGTCCTCTGTTCTCATATTCTTTCTAATACTTCTTCATTTCAAATCCTCACCATTCGCCTGGAACACGCAATTGAGCATATACAAGTAAGGAAAAACGTTCACCAAACACAGAAATTACACATTTTTTTATCAGCATTTTTTCTTTTCATATCGGGCGAGCAAAAATGCATAATTTGGTGAACGTAAAGAATATATTTTTTGAACCATGTCTATCTGGAAATCTCCTCCGAAGTTTCCAAATCATTTGATAGAAGGCCTATCGAAAGCTTAAAATTGCATTCATTGGACTTAATTTACTTTATTTGTACGAATTTTCTCATACTACGTGGTATTTCTTAAAAGAAACGTTTCAATTTGATGATTGCATGTAATATGATATCTCACCACTAGTGTATGTACTCTCTTAAACGGTAAAAACTGACCGAAATAAGAAATTTATAATGAATTCCCCACAAGGTATTTATATTCGTAATTGTCTTGGAAATTAATATTCCACATCACAAAATGTTATAACTAAATCCACAAAACCTAAATCCATAATCATCAAACCTATCTCGCATATTTCTTATTGATTTCCGTATTCCTATTCTTTCTAATATCTCTTCATTTCTAACCTTCTCTATCCACGGTATCCTCATCATTCGTTTGTAACACGACATTTTGGACGCTTCTAACCTTTTCTTTTCCGCCGCGCTCACTGTCCATGTTTCGTACCCGTACAGGGCCCTGCTCCAAACGTACACCTTTAACAACCTTTTTCGAATTTCTTAATTAAGTATAGAAGTGATTTATTTTTATTGAAGGCGACTCAACCCTACGTTATCCTCTGCTTTATATCCCTACTACTCCTTCCATTCTGACTTATCTGACTTCTTAGATACCGAAAATCGACCACTTCTTGTAATCTTTCTTCTCCTATCTTTACATTCGCTCTTTCCCTACTTTTTCTTCTCTTGCATATCAGTATTCAATACAATACTGTTTTGTCAATACCGCTTCCGTTTTATTTAAAGCTATCTCTAACTCCTCCTTTCTAGATGCTTGTACTGCTATATCATCTGCAAGTCTAAGCATACTAATCGTTTGCCCCTGTATATCTATCCATAAAGTTGTACTGTCTGACAGTGTTGATTATTAATTTTTAATAATATTCTGTAAAACATTATGTAAAAATCAGCGCCTGAACTTTAATAAAAGCAAGTAACTATTGAAGTCAGTTTAAAAAATCAGTTTTTACTTTACCTTCAAAACTAAATAAACCTAAAGGATTTTGAAAATAATTAATTGATGTTGTTGCAGCTACATTGGGTTATCCTTCCGGAGTTGCCGAGTAGATTCCTGATTCACTTGTCCTGGGGGAGAGGTTCTCATCAAATTCGACCATGACCTGAATTGTGAGCTTTTTCGATTATCCTTACTGTATTTATTATTTAATTAAATGTCGCTTTTTCATCTAAGGGACTAAAATTATCAATTCCTTTTTTTTGTGTTTTTTTTTGGCCTTATAGGATAAACCGATAACATTTTTTAAAATTGCAGGAACATTATGATCTGGCTGCTTAGAAAAAGTGTTGAAATACTTCTCTAAGTGTCGTATTTAAAAATTAAGACTCATACTATACGTTAAATTACAATCTTTTTGTGAACTTTGAAGCGGCTAAAAAAATTACCGGGGAAGTGTCTGACAGTGTTGATTATTTATTAATTTTTAACAATATTCTGTAAAACATTAAGTAAAAAGTAGCACTCAGACTTAAAAAGAATGAGTTATGTTTTTACATACCTTTAATAATTGGTATCTACAAATTGACCTCCGGTTCAAATCAGTAGGTATGGCACATGTTCAAAGTACATACTAATATTACCAATTCTATCTTTTACTCAGAAAATAAGTAATGTCTGCCGGTTCTGGGATCATGCTCTAATTGTGGATAAGTAAAAAATAATCCAATTTTAATGTTTCAACAAGATTTGATTAAAACTCCACATGTATTTTGACTTGATAGGCCTTTTTCGAAACCGCAATGTAAAGTAAGTCGTTGTGATAGTGTAGTGGAGACACCATGGACTTCTTATCCCTAATTTTAAGTAATAGCAGTGAAGAACCTACACCTAAAATGAAAGCCCTTCGATTAAATAAGTAAATTAATAATAAGAAGTTGAGGACTGAGGAGTAATGTTGACAAGGTCAATCATGCCACATGCTGCTTTTGTTATTTCGGAAAACCTCAAATATTCGTTTCCATTACAAACAAACCAATAAGAGTATTACTACGCAACTTTACCAAATAAACACGAAAATTAAAGTCTTCAGGTAGACATTGGGTGCAGAAACGCGTTTTAGAGTTATAAACATTTTGTGGAATTTTTGGTTTTGGTGTTAATTTATACATTTTCAAGCAAAATCCTTTCTCGTAAACCTAAAATAATTTACATATTCATAAGACCGTGCCGGACGCCCGAGCACATCAACAACAGACGAAAACTTTGATGAAGTGAAGAAAATAGTATTCGCCAATCGTTGAATCATCGTTAGAGAAGTTCCTGAAGACCTAAACATATCGATTGGCTCCTGTCATTCGATTTTTACCAATGATTTGGGCATGGAACGGGTCGCCGGGAAATTCGTACCAAAATTGCTCAATTTCGACCAAAAACAGCATCGCATTAACATTGCTAAGAAACTTTTGGACACTGTGTTCGCGACGACCCAAATTTTCTCCAGAAGGTCATAACTGCTGACGAATCATGGGTTTATGGTTATGTCGTGGAAACCAAAGCTCAATCATCCCAATGGAAGCTGCCGCACGAGCCAAGATCGAAAAAAACCAAGTTGGGTTGAATGTGAAGGTTTTGTTTACAGTTTTCTTCGATTGCAGGGGCGTGGTGCAT